AAAAAAAAAAAAAACAGACAAAGAGAATGAAACAGAATACAGAGCCCAGAAATAAACAAAAGCATATACAGTCAACTACTTTTCAACAAGGCCACCCAGAAGACAAAATAGTCTCTTCAAGAAGAGAAACACAGGAGCTCACTCAATAGTCTACAATATTAAAGATAATGTTCTTTTTAAAAATACCCAACTATATAAAAACAGACATACAGACCAAAGGAACACATAGAGAACCAAGAAATAAACCGACACATGTATACTCCACTGACCTTTGACAAGAGTGTCACAACCCCACAATGGAGAATGAATAGTCTTTGGACCCATATCTTACACCATACACAAAAATCAATTCAAAAGCAATGAAAGCCTTAAATTTAAGACCAGAAACTGTAAAACTACTAGAAGAAAATAACAATCTCCATAGTTGACCACCTCCCAGAATGACCACCTCCTTAAGTTGACATAATTTCTACAGACAGGACATGAAGCACATGTATATATCAGGACAGTAGCCTAGCTCCTTTTGTTGACCAGTTTGTTACAGTCCTTGGTTAACTTACAGGGGATCTACTATAGAGGGGAAAGGTGCTTGACATTGGTCTTGGCAAAGATTTTTAAGTCTTAACACCAAAGGCACAGGTATAAAGGTAAAAATGGACAAGTGAGAGTCCACCAAATTAATAAGTTTCTGCACATAAAAGGAAAGAGATAATCAACAAAGTGAAAAGGCAACCTACAGAATAAAATATTTGCTAACCATATATCTAATAAGGGGTTAATAGCTAAAACATGTAAGTAACTTAGAAAACTCAATAGCAAAAAAAAAAAAACTCTATTAACAAATGGGCAAAAGACCTAAATAGACATTTTCCAAAAAACATGTACAAATGGCCAACAGTTACATGAACAGATGCTCACCAATAATAACCATAACGGAAACAGAAAGCAAAACTACAATGAGATAGCACCTCACACCTGTTAGGATGGCCCTTAACCCAAAAAAAGAGTTAACTTTCAAAAGGGTGTAAAACCAGACCCCTGCCACAGATGGTAGAAATGTAAATTAGTACAACCAATATGGAAAACGGTATGGAGATTCCTCAAAATATTAAAAATTGAACTACTATATAATATAGCAAATGCATTACTGGGTACGTATCCAAGAGAAATGAAATTACTATATCGAAGAGGAATCTACAGTCCTATGTTTACTGCAACACCATTCAATAATAGCCAAGACACGGAATCAACTTACGGGTCCCACAACAGATAAATGGATACAGAAAATGTGGAATATTACTCAGCCATTTAAAAATCCTATCATTTGCTGCAATAGAGATGAAACTGGATGACATTACATTAAGTAAAATAAGCCAAGCACAAAAACACAAATATTGCATGTTCTTTCTCATACGTGTGAGCTACTCATAATTGATCTCACTGAAGTAGTAAGCAGTGAGATGTTGGTTACTCAAATCTAAGATGGGACAGGGAGAGTGATGAAGAGAGGTTGGTTAACAGGGAGAAAAATAAAATTAAATAGAAGGAATAAGTTGTAGTGTTTGACAGATACTATACAGTAAACTCCCCATTATCTGGAACTCAAGCATGCAACCCACCCCCCCCAAAAAAAACTGGAGATTAAACTTGGTGATGCTGTCAGTAAGCCTAACACTTCCTACATCACTCCCTGGCTCCTGTGTGCTCTCTGTAATAGTTCATTTTGTTTTGTTTTGTATTTGAGATAGAGTCTCACTCTGTTGCCCTGGGTAGAGTGCTAATGCATTATCATAGCTCACAGCAAACTTAAACTCTTGGGCTCAAGCAATCCTCTTGCCTCAAGCCCCTAGTAGCTGGGACTACAGGTACCCACCACGTCTGGCTAATTTTTTCTATTTTTACTACAGACAGAGTCTTGCTCTTACTCAGGCTGATCTGGAACTAGTGTGCTCAATCAATCCACCCACCTCAGTCTCCCAGAGTGCGAGGAATACAGGTGTGAGCCACGCTGTGAGCCACCACACAGCCTCTCTGTAACAGTTTTAAGTCTTAATGTATGTTACTAGAAGTTAAAAAAATATGGTGGTGAAGTTGAAAAGTGTATTGACTGCCTTTTAACAAAAATTGTACACTGCATTTACAAGGCTGTTTTATAATATAGTAAAACTGTGTTACACTAAGTGAAGTTAGTCTTTATTTGCTTTGAATTGGTGTATTTCAGTATTAAGTCAATGAAGAGTTTATAGTATGGTATAGTATGGGGTATAGAATTAGTTAGGCTAATTTTTAATAGTAACTCTCAAGCAACAGAAAACTACATTTATCCAGAATCTAGCCATGGGTGCTGGATAAAAGGGAGATGACCGTGTACAGAAACACAAGTATAATAGATAAGGGACGGGGGGTGGGGAGGGGTGGGGGGTGGGTATTAACCGTTATGGAGTTTTTTAATTGGGTGATAAAAATGTTCTAAAACTGTGATGATGGTTGCACAGCTCTGTGAACAAACTAAAACCTATAGGATTATACACTTTAAATGAGTGAATGTATGATATGTGAATTATACCTCAATAAAGCTGCTTTTAAAAAAATTATGCTGAGTGAAATTTGCCAAATACAAAAAATATAATTATATGATTCCACTTACATAAAATATCTAGAATAAGTAAATTTATAGAGAAAGAATGTATATTTGAGATGGCTAAGGGCTGCGTGGAAGAGGCAACTGGCAATTATTGCAAAATGGTTAGAATTTCCATTTAAAGTAACAAAAAAGTTTTGGCAATAATTGATGATGGTGATTGGTGATGATTCCTCAGTACACTGAATGTAATTAACATAAATGAGCTGTACGCCTTTATTTTTTTTTCAAATTAATGTGAGGCACAATTAGGTTACAATGTTTGCATTTGTTAGGTAGAGTACTTCTGTTAGTTGTGTCCTGCCCCCAGGAGGTGTACCAAATACCCTTACATTGTGCCCAGTCAGTGGAAGCACACCAATCTCCCACCCTCCCTTCTCCTTCCTTTCCTCTCCCCCATCCTGAACTGAATTGAGTTTTTCTCTCCTGTGGGCAGTGGGTTAGATCCTCTACTGGCCTCATATAAGTACTCAGTACATGGATACTTGCTTTTCCATTCTTGTGACCACTGAACTGTACACTTAAAAAAGGTTAGGGTGGCCAATTTTATGTTATGTATATTTTACCACAATTTTTTTTAAAAGATAATTTAGATCAATAGTTTCCCTGACAACTCAATAGCTTACCATTTCCCTCTGAATGAAAGCACAAATTTTCAAAATGACCCAGGGTCCTCACACAATCTGTCCCCTGCCCTTTCCAGTCTGCCCTAACCTACCCTCTCACCGCTCTAGGCTACTTGTCTCCTAGGCTGCTCTTCGAATACAACCAAGCACGTTCCTTTGCGCTTTCTTTGCTCCCAGTTAGCGCAAGGTAATCTCTCCCACTTCCTTCAGTTCTTTACTTAAAAAATTACCTTCTCAAGGTGGGCGCGGCGGCTCATGCCTATAATCCTAACACTACGGAGGTCGAGGGTGGCAATGGAATAAAAAAAAAAAACCTAGGCCATGTCACGTCCCCTTGAGCTAAATGTCTCCTATCCACCTACTACATAGGCTCTAGCTGACACCCAAGTAACTTCAACTTTGCAAACCAATGAGAATTCCCGACAAATAACTTTATATCAGCCCCACTCCCGGTTCCGTCTGCCTTTAAAAACCTGCTTATAAATAAGGCTCAAGGGGTACTCCCCAAGGCAAGTGAGAAGTGGTCCCAAGGAGCTGTCCTCATTCAAGTTAACAGCTTAAATTACACTTAGTACCTCAGCCTCTTCGTTTTAGGTAAACACTACTATTCAATGACTTGAAGATCTGAACTTTTCTACCTATCTCGACCTCCACAACCTGTAAAAATTAACAGACCACACTATATAACGCCCGAAGTACCGACTTCCACTCCTAAATTAGCATCCTAAGAATGGTATTACTCTTTCACAGCGAGTAGTATTTTTACTTATGCAACCTACCCAAAGAGCACAGAGTCAACGAGGAGGAGCAAAAACCATTAAGGATTGAACGCTGAGAACTCAAAAACCTGCATAACTTGCTAAATCATAGCTATCGGGTTATCTCCCTCGACTGTGTTGTGTAAACACGGAGTGGCTCAATTTGTGCAAGAGTAAAGGCCGAACAGGAAGGACAGTAATCCTTAAGGGGCCCGACGGACACCCCACCCGCCCCGCTTTTTGACGGCTAGAAGCTCCCGTTCAGCTGGCGGTGCTCGAAACGGGAGGTGGGGAAGGGGAAGTCCGTTTCTAGGGACTATCCCAAACTCAGCCCAGGAGCTCCGCCGGGCTGAGCACCTACACGTGTGCTGAACTGCGGACACAAGAGTGGGGAGGACACGTTACCCTGAGAAGAGCCAATTCAACGGGTCTCCTCGTTCAGCCGGACGACTTGTGGAGCGCCACGACAGTAGGGCCTGCAACCCAGGCAAACAGGCCAGGCACCAAATCAATAAACGTTACCCCCAACTCCCCGGCCCCCAGCTGAACACAGCAAGCTGGGGCGACGCCGACCTACGCCGTATGCATGAGTCGGGGAACACTAACCCTCCCCGGCCCGCCTCGGCGACTTCCGCGCGACTCCGGAGCCCTCCCGCCGCAGCCCGGCCCGCTCCGGCCAGGACGCGTGCGCAGAACCTCTAGCGGGCGCGGAGCACCACGGGAAATGTAGTCCCTGTGCAGGTGCCGGTGGGCAGCCGGAGTCCCACATCCCGGCGGAATCTGGAGAAGTCAGAACACTCCCGCCATCCGCTCCTTACTCCCGTCTTCACACCTGTCCGGTCGCCTCGCGCTTGCGCTCCATCCCGCGCGCTCGGCTTCCGTCAGGGCACGCGCTGAGGGAGAGCGCGAGACCCCCTCCAGCGGGCTGTGCAGGGGTAGGCGGGGTCCGCCGCCCGCCCCCCGCCG